CCTACGGCTTGCTGTATCCGAGACCACTACCAAGGAAACTCCTGCCGAAAAGGTTATCATGCACATCCTCTGCTCGGCAGTTAACAACCAGGCGCGTTACATCGTGATTGACACTGCTCCTTTTGATGCTCGACGCCTTCTGATAAATCGAAACCCTCCTTTTATTCATTTATGCTGGAGTTTTGTTCAAGAAATTTTCTGACCCTCATGGAAGATCTTTTGATAGAGAATGGTATTCGGGCTGAAGACACTGACAGCGCGGAATGTCGGTGAGCTATTATGCGTTTCGTATTACGAAGCTGATCAGCAAAATTGTCCGCCCAACGCGTATCCCGTAGATGAGCCTTTTGTCATTCTTTTACCTCCCACTAAGCGAGCAAAAAGCTCAATTACTCTCAACGATATCACGTATAAAGATGGTTGTGCAGCTGGTTTAGATCTCCTGGAGGAAGTCCAACATCTGGGAATATACAGTGGCATATAGGCATACACCGATCATTGAAACATTGTTTTCTCGGAAGAAATTTGAACAAGGCAAAGATCACGAGTTAGGCAGAATTTAATGACGTCATGAAATTTCGTGACCTCTCAATCAGCTGCGAACGGTCGTTGCCTACTCATAAGAGAATTAACTGTCCAATTAAGTGTTAGTCTCGAAGGTTGAAACATTATAGGTAAAGGGAGTAGAAACAATTAGTCATAGATGTGGGCGCATGGTGAGGGGTAGAGGAGAGGGGGAGGTAATTGTCACAGCATAGCAGTTCATGAAAGCCAGCAGGACCTGGTTAAAAAGGGGGTTGGGGCAGGGGCAGGGGCAGTGGACAGGGTAGCAGTCAGTCCTTGGGGTGACGAGGAGGCGTAAGCAGGAATGAGTTTATCGATCGTTACCACGGCAATGCGAGGTTGATCACATGGTCCAGCTGCTCACAGAGCTCTGGTTTTCTTCTCCGTATTGCAGCGGCCTCCGCTAAACGTAGGAGACGCCCGTTCGTCGCCCGAAGTACGACCTTAAATGAAGTTGTTTGGTCTACTGTGTGGCCAGTGTCCACTAAGGGCTTAGTGATTGAACTCTTGGGTACTTTATGTTCCGCCCTGAGCAACCACTTCGGTATGTGTTCAGCTGACCGAATTGCCAACTGCCTTTGCGTGCGCCCGATCAGTTAGAAGACACACTCGTCCGTCCATGGTGTTTTTAGAGCTCACACTCGAGTCTACGCTGCAAGGCGGCTAATGATATAGGCAGAAGGACATTCTCGATCAAAAACCGACAAGACGGCGAGCCCGTGGCGCAGTGGTTAGAACGTTGGACTTCCAACTAACAAGGTCACGGTTTCAAAACTCGAACAGGGCACCAATTTCTGGGGCAACACTTCAGCTGGGTATGACTAGCTGACGACGGCCAGAAATAGTTATCCTTGTCTCCCTTATCTTCGTCGATAATGTCCTTCTGCCTAAATGTATGTACTTACTTGATATGAATTTATCAAAGGCATATCTTCCCTCAATCCTCTTCTGGGTAAATTTCTATTTGTTGCAAGAGTCGCGCTGAGTTTTGGCTTAATTTTCGTTTTTTTTTTCTGTCAGTTTGGCCACACACCCATCCGGCCATCTGCTGGCATCCTGTAGCAGTGGGGATGCCCTCGTCAAGTTTTGGGATTGTGGACGCATGCAGGTAACGGAACAAAATGCAGCCTCCACAAAACTCAGTGAGGGTCTGCCTGAGGATACAATCGGCGGTGGTGGTAGTTCCGCCGACAAATCTGTCTCGGCCAGTAGCCCGGATTTGGCCAGTGGACACTTCCTGCCCGCCCGTTCATTCTCCACCTATGCCGTGCGAAAGCCGCAGAATGTGTCGGACAAACCAACTTGCAGGGTGAGCCCCTCTTAACTCTTGAAGCATTTGTTCTCTGATACGGATTTAAAACAAGCGTAGACAGCAGGATTTATTGAATTCAACAAATTTCGTGACGCCTTTTCAACTGCATCCTGTCGTTGCATGAGTCAGGTAAGGGTTAGAAGCATACAGTAGATTGGATTTCACAGAGTGTCAATGTATAACAGTGAAGTTCATGGCCAATACAAGCGAACATGCGTGTCCCAGGAAGCGATCGAGTCTTCTTCTTCTCAGTAAGGGTCATAGTTCAGTGTAAATAATGATCAACTGAAGGGCACTACCTTAAATCCGCCTATAAGAAGAAAAGGAAGGAGAGGACTTTGGCGCAGACAAAGTCGTGATTAAAACTAGCCGCCCAATTACAAAGGTAACGGGAAATTGACCACGTCGTCTAGCTGCTTGCACAGGTCGGGTTTCCCCCACGTTATGTAGGCCGCTTCCAAGTAGCGCAGGGTCCGATTTGTTCGTGCCCGAACAAGTACTCGGGCAACTGTTGTGAGGTCGACAGAGTATTTAGTAATCGAAGATCGTAGTAGTCTGTCTTCTTGCTTGAAAAGCCAATTAGGCAAGTGTTCAGCGACCCTGGCTGCCAGTGGCTTTTGCGTATGCCCAATGTACTTGTATCCGCAAGTGCACATGAACTCATAGATACGATTTGGCGTGGCGTGTAACGACAAGGCATCCTTTGCTCCTTTAACTGGAAGGCTTTTAGGAGGGCTCATGAAGACAAGTCGAGTTGCGTTATAAGTACTTTCTATGGTACAACGCAACCGTCGCTTGATTGTATTCGAAACACTATCACCCTTAAAGGATAAGGACATAATTAAGGGCTTTTTAGAACTGACTTTTCCGTCAATTTTGGAGGTAAAGGATTGCTATACTTTTGGATGAAACGTGCACGATAGTCACGGTTACTTAGGGCTGCTTTGATGCAGGAACTTTCTGCAGACGGAGTCTCACTTGCTTAAATATTATTCGCTCTTTGAAAGCCAGTGTGAACCAGATTTCGTTTCCATTGTGCTGGCACAAAAATTTCAAAGTGTCCTTCTAACCGTTATCTGACAGGATGCAGTTGAAAAGCCGTCGCGAAATTTTTTGAATTCAATAAACCCTCTACCTTTATCGTCAGGCCCCTCTCCCTAAATGTGTCCACTTAGTATGTTTTCTGCTTCTATCCACACCCATGCTGGCTGATTAAGCGGGATCTTTGTTTTACCCTCATTGATTTTCTTTCTTTGCAATTCATCAGTAGCAGACTGAAACACGAGGTTTAACTATTTAGTATCCCGATATGTTCTATTATCCTTTGAGTCACTATCCTGTCGGGCACTACGTAGTGCACATCATATAGCCCTAAGCCCAGCATTTGGTCCTACGGAAACGGTGGTTATAGGGTTTTCGGGCGTGGGGAAATAGGATAGGCAGTGAAGGAATTTTTTTTAAAGAAGTGTTAAGTGAAAAATATTAGTCGAATTTGTTTCCCGCAGCCGCTGAGAGTAAGTTCTTCCCCATGTAAATTGAAGGTGTGCGCGGCGCTTTGCGCCGCGGACTATACTAATCT